GGCAAAACTGAAAAGGCTGCTTACTGCGCTGCTTGCAGACGTTTCTAAAAGCCTGGATCTTCTGCCTAGTTCTTAAGTTTGTAAAGCGAACAATATATGGCTTTAACTTTATGGAAACTTCGGGAGACGTTTCCAAAATCAAGAAAGTCGATCGCCTTTAGAGTAAATACGCGCATAACGCCCCGACTTCAGCCCTGAGCGGTCGCGTCGGCACCGCACAGCCACCACTACGTCTGCTGAGTACAGAAACCGCCGTCTCTCCTGCAGCCATTGACATTTACGTGCATGCTATACGAATCCCTTTACATTGGCCCGCGTGTATTGTTCACTAAAAGGACGAAACGATCCCTATACCTTGACGAAGAATCCTTCATTAATATTGCAGCATTTGCACAACGCTATTATAATAACTCTAGCTAACTGGTGTTTTCAATGGGGCCCGCGGTTAATGCTAAGAAAAGAAAGGTATTTTCAAACAACCACCAAAAATGCTAATTACCCCATTGGAACCTTCAATCAGTATACTCAACTAAAATTGACGACCAACTGTTGCGAAGACAACACGGCGCATATGTTGTGGCAAGGGACAAAACAGCGATAGAGGTGCTTTACTCGTTGATGTGCGTGTCTGTTATCCGTCCTTTCCTGTACTTCTGCTGCATTGGCATTTAATGTACCGTCGACTCTGACAGCACTGCTTGTGTGACGAACACGTCGCTGAGGCTGATTACCTCGCGCCGAATTTGCATGATACACATGTGTTCGCGCATCGCACTGAATACAAAAACTTAGTTAAGTGTCCCACCCCCGTGACGTGACATAAGCGCTTGTTTAAAACAATAAAGGTGTCAGGTTAAGGGCACCAATGCAGTAGTTACATGTGTTTATGGTACACCTGTATCTGTATCCAGTATTACTAATTAAATAAACAGTCTGCGCTCGCGCGTTTGCTCAGCTTTAAATTACTATTAATAATAAAAAGTATCAAATGAATAGCCTATTTTGCTCAACTTTATAGTTGAATTCCTACTGTTGGACCTTCACGTAAGCTGGGCCCTTACTGATGCTTAGAGCTAAAATCTAAACGGGTTTATGATAGCCAGCATACGCAATTTATATGAATTCTAGTTTCGGTGGTTGGCAAAGAAAAGTTATTTAAGGTGAAACCAAATAATTATAGGTATTTTTTATATAATAAGCCTCCCAACGTATTCTCCATTGTGTCCTATACTTAATCTCGACAAATGCATTCAGAAAATAAAATAAAAAAAATTAGAAATAGCAAATTTTATTAAATTTTCACTTGGATTCATTATTGAGCAAGATTTTCAATCACCCATAAATACCGTGTAGTGCTAACATAAGGTTGAAAGTGGTCTTTCCATCTTACGGGCGGCCTTTATGGTGAATTAAAAGAACGCTTTATAGGTTAGTATTGACAGATATTAAAGGTCTTTAAAAATGAATAAAAATTCCTCTTAAAGAAATTTGACTCTCAGAAAGGTATAATACTCTATTAAAAGCAAAGTGACTTTTCTCATAAAAGATCACCATAGTTTGCTCATTTTTAAATAAAACAGACTGTTTCTCTCTTTCTACTAGTACTTGCTATAGAAACCCTCTGTAATATACCTCTAGAGCGAGTTCATAGTTAAAAAAGATAAAAGAGCTAAGTTATTTAAAAATAAATTCTCAAGCTTAGCTTAAGTGAGGCTAATAGGAATAGACAGAGTGCCACACTGCGACGCATATGTACTGAGAAGTAAAAGGTGAATTGAGGGTTTCTGTTAGTAAAATGTATGAAAAGTTAATTCCGGCTGACTTACTATGGCCCAAGAAATTTCTTTCGTAAATCCTTTTGCGGTCAAGCATAATAGCGTAGTACTGTCTCGCTGGTATAATACTCCACCTTTCTTTGTCTTTTTATTAGTTTTTAATATCAACAGTCGTACCTTAGTTGCCGCTATATCTGGTGCAACGGCTGGCATAATAGGGCTGACAAATCTCAAAGGATTCCTTTTCTTTGTTTTTACTTCCTTTCTTTCTGCATTTCTACTATTTTTTAAAGCTAAAGGTATTTAATTATTCAATAATAAATCAAAATTTAAAAAGAAACTTAATAAAGAAGCGCATAGTTCCTTAAGTCTTAACTCTTTAAGTGTTTTCAGTATATCTTTGTCTTTTATTAATATAGATGGTCTTTTAAAACTCTAATATTCGTTTCTTAAGCGGTTATCACTGACGGTATAATTTTAGGAAAACCTACTCTTTACTTTTTGGGAGCCCACGAATTAGTTACATTTGGGATCCTGGATAATCTATTGACTTATATACTAGTATGGACGTAAGTAACCTCTTAATATATTAATGTTAAATGATAGACCTAAAGATGAAGCTTAAGGTAGCAAAAGAATTTTTTTCTACTCATTTGCGTTTGCTTCAAAATTTTTTAAAAAACGTGATGCTCTGGATAGATCTTCAGATTTTAAAATTTTTTTGGCTCACACTTTTATGTGACGTAGATATTTTTTAGCACTCCTCTAGAATTTGGGAGGCTTTCTTAGCTCAATCACCCTTTGGTAGCTATTGTAGCCCTTTAATTCCAGCTATTAATATTAATGTTAGCGAGGAAACTTTAATTTAGCTTTTAGAACTCTTTAAACTCTATTATAGCTGTTTTTAAAAACAACATAAACTTTGTTATCATTTCCCTTCATATATGTCCATCACCACTATAAGCGCAGTTTATTAAAAAAATTCATTCTTGTTGGTTACGCCTCGAAAAAGTTTCCTTGTTAGCTTAAAGCATAAATTTATATATTCATCACATAATAGCGGCTAATGAGGAACAAAATTCATTAAACTTGTGACATACCAAATCCTCTGCCTGCTTGTAAATTAAATACAAAACATTGAGTCTTAACTCAACTTAAAAAGTATTGAAAGCAAAATAATTACGCTAGTAACTACAACAGATTATTAAATTATAAAATAATTAATTTTAAAGCGCTTTCGTTATAACTAACAAGTAATTTTTTATAGACTAGTATACGGCGTATGCCATGTTTACTAAATATTGAAAGTCCAGCTCGCTGTAAAACTTATTGCCTACGGCCTCGCGGAACTTGAATTATTGCCTTTTATAAGGTTTTCTTTGTTACAAACAAGTAAGTTCTTGTTATCAAAAATAAAAAAAATTCGCATCATCTCATAATTAAATTAAGAATTTTACTCCTAATTAAATCTACTTAGGTTAAGCGTTATCTCAGCGTAGGCAAAATAAAAAAATGTTTAGGTAGTAATTTCCTTTTTTTCCAAGAGATACTGAGAGAATATAGGATTTTCCTTGAAATAACGCAAAATTTGCATTTCCTAAAAAAAACTTTTCACAATCGTTAATGTGCTTGTATATAATTAGCACGTTGGCGCGTAAAGAGACTCTTTTCAGTCGTCTATCTGCGGGGCGAGAGGCTATTTCTATGAAGCCCTGCTAGGCAAAAACGTTATCAGCAAGACGACGATGCCTGCCACGATAAGTTTGTCATACCTTATCGTCTAGCGCACTCAGAGTTTCGTCAAACTGAAACACCGCAAAAGACTGTACAGATTCGCTGCATTTTGCAATGTACAAGCTTTTAAGCTAAAGGAGATTAGCTCGAGCGGAGGATTAAATACGATGCTAACATACCTTTCCTACCGTAATGGAGTTCTGCTTAGATTGGTAAGCAGCCAGCAAGGCCAAAAGAATTTGCTGGTGGAGTGGTAGACTCTGAAAAAAATAAAAAGCTAAATTTTAATAACCACGAGTAGACCTTTTTAGTTCATGAGTTGCGATATTTGCAAGTTAAAAATTATAATTACTTTGACTGCGGATTCGATTGGAAGAAATATATTATTAAATAAGGAGAAAACGTGGTCGACTGTAACATGAATGGCTCTAAAATATTTTAAGCAAATTATAAATTCCAATAAAGAACTAATACTACGGCTGAAGGTATAAAGAAATTAAACAACTTTAGAATTTAACTTTTAAATTAAAGAAGGGTAAATCTTACGCTAAACTATTGTTTTCATAGTCACCTTTTGCTCTTTCAATGGCTTGTCTAAAAACTTAAGGGTTATTTAAAACTTTAGAGAAGCCCAGAAAAAGAACCGAGAGAGATCTAAAGCCTTCCGCACGTCTCCATCTACGCCCGAGACCCTTTGAGCAATATAGTGAAGGGCAGACTCCTCAAAGATCAATCCGTTTCGGTGGAGGCTTTGCTCGTAGTCGCTAATACTATAATAACAGGCGGAACGACGGAGGCGATGCTTAACAATTGCAACAAGTTCTTCGCACGTATACTGCGAAAAATTAAGAACTTTAGGGGCACAGCCCTCCTTCTCCAAACGTGGTAGAGTACGCACGATAAGATCGTGTGCATTAGCGATCGCTACAAAGTTAATTCCAAATAATTAAATCAAGCGTATTTGAAGCTTATAAAAGAAGCAAGAAAAATACGATATTACAAAACTATAAGGAGACAAAAGTCTCTTTAAAATTTGTATGTTCTTTAGTGAGCAATCATAGCAACTGTAATGAGTACAAGCCTTAAACGAGATAAAATACTATTAATAGTGCACAGTTATCTTAAAACACTAATAAATATAGTTCTAAATAGGAAATATAAATCGCTAGTGAAAAAAGGGAATCTCTCTTGAATGATGTGAAGTATTGGCAGACTTGCTCGCGGCACACAAACCTTTTGTTTTAGTAAAAAAATATTGAAATTGTCAATGCTTACTTAGCAAAAATAGAGTGGACGCCGTTAAAAATGGTAATTCGTAAAGCTTATATAAAAGCTCTTTAGAGTAAAGTTGATCGACTTCATCCAAGATTAAAAGCCTACTGAAACACTAAAAAGAGGTGGAAAACGTAAACAAAAAGTCTAACGTGATTTCTTTTTTCTCCTTTTTTCTTTTGTTGCAAAAATGTTTTTTAATTTTATCTAACAGTCCCTCTACATCAATTAAACTTATTTGTTTTTTAACGCCACAGCCAGAAAGGATAGCTTGCAGAAAATTTACAGAGTCTGAAACTTCCAAGCAGTTTACGTTTACGAAGTGCAAAAACTAATAAAAATAAAACTATGTTTACAATCAAAAAACTTAAAAAAAAATAATTAATCCTTGCTAAACAACTAAAATTAAGGATAAACGGAAACCTTAAATTTAGTGCTTAAACTTTTAAGAAGAACTTCCACTAAAGCGGTTTTCCCTCCATAAAAAAATCAGACGCCAGGAAGAGAAAAATGAAAGAAATAGAATTACCAGTTCCAGGCCTTCCAGACAAAAAGAAAGAAAAAGGAGAATTACTTTCTATGGAACTTGATAAATGTTCACAAACTTCAGAAAATTCAGTTTCTCGGCAAACTAAAGATGTTGACTCCGACTCATTAAGGAGTAGTAATGCTTTATGTGCTAAAAATATACCATAAAAAAAATTACTTAAAATATATAAAAAGTTGGAGGAATTTTAATATATTTCTTAAGAGAACCAACTCTAATGGAGGAATCAGAGTTAAGAAAAGCAGAAGCTTCCAAAGCTTTTGGCCATTCACAGCTACGTTTTGATAGTTTTTTAGTACTTCTGATTGACCGCTTTCTTTTTAGTTTTACAGCTTCTTTATTAACAGTATTTACTTTGAGCATCCTTAAAAGCTTATGAAGCTACAGGAATAAGAAAAACGAAGACGTGCAGGAACGCCTCTATGAAGGGCGCCAAGTACCAAGCACGGTCATCCCCGCATCGTTTAAATTTTAACGTTAAAGGGGGCGGGTGTGGGGTAACTTATACTGTTTAAAAGGCCCGTGCAACAGAATAGTGACAGTAGCTAATAAATAAAGAAGAAAAAGATATTGTGTATGTTCAATAAGAAATTTTTTTTATCAATTATACAATTTTTTCACTTGTGACTACTGTTCGTATAGTACATTCTTAGTAAAGTAACAGCTAAACAGTTTACGGATTGTTTCCACTTGGTGGTATGGCTAACCCTTATAAGAGTCTAATAGGGAGAACTTATTTATTTTTGGTTTTGTTTGTGTATGTAGTTATTTTGCCTGCGTAGTCATTCTTCAGACAAATAAATTATAAATAATTTATAGTTATGCAGGCTTCTGAGCCTAATATTATAAGTTTTGTAGAAAATGAGAACGATTTACGCTTAGTACTTAAAGAAAAAGAAAAGGAGGTTTATTTGCTTTCTTAGTAATCTTGATTAATATACAACCTTCTTTACACTTTATTATAGTTCTGTTCGGTAAAGCGGACAGCGGAGGAAATAAGACGACATTTTGAAGATACAATATCCCTACTGACTCATAAACTTGAGCTTCAAGTAGTTTTACTTTTAATTTTATATTTTACTTTTTTTAAGTTGTAAATGTTTTAGGACCTGGAAATAAGGATAAGTATGAAAAATAAAGAATGTTTTGAAACTGAATTAGCATCTTTAAAAAAGGCATTCAGATTAGAATTTCAAAATGCTCAAAACGAGCGAGTAAGTATTTGACGCGTAACTCAATCAAATTATAGTTACTTCCAGTTTTACGAAAGATAATTTTTTTAGAGAACAAAGTTCGTCTATTAGAAAAAGAAAAAGAAGAATTTAGAAAGAGTTTTGAGGGCTTGGAAAGTTTAACCAAAAACGTTTTGGAATTTACTCGGCTTATAAAGCAATGTGAAGCACTAAAATTAAGCAATGACTATCTAAAAAGTTTTAATTTTTATCCACCACGAACTATTGTTCGAAATCAACTCTTCTTTCTTTTTTGTAAAGCTCTAGCCGAAGAAAGCATTCTCTTGCAAGAACAAAATCGCAACCTGGTAGTTAAGCTGGAACGGCAAGCTCAACTCGAAAATGAGTTGGTTTCTCTAAAAGTTCGTTGCCAAGGTAATTATCAAAATTCAGATTGCTAATTTTTCTAAAGATACATATTATTGCTTATATAAACTTTTTTTTGCTACTTTTTTGCAAAGCGTCGGATTATAACCATTTACTACAGAGCTGGAATCAGCAAATGCCCAGTCTTGTAGAGATCTAACTAAAGATGTTCTTCTAGAAAATCTTCAATCTTTAGAGGCAGAAAACGTTTGTTATCTTTCGCTTTATACTCGCAAGTATTTATTTTAATTTTTATTTGAAAGCGTGAGCAGGTTGAGCAGTTTAACGAGGTGAAGTCCCAAATCGAGCCTTTAAAAATACGACTGGCAGAATTAGAAAATGACTTAACTGAGATAAAAAAGGTCTTATGCGTAGCAGTAAAAGATCTTTGCATTTACTGTTATTTGTTTCCTTAGGAACTTGTTTCTAAAGATTTAAAGCTTATTTCTATTATCGAAAAAGAACGGCGCACAGCACGGTTGAATGTGTTTCTGCGTACCGAGAGAGATGCTATAAAGGCCCATTTTCAGGTACACATCTGCAGATTTATCTCGGCTTTATACATATTTGTAGCTAAAAAAGTACAATTGCCTGTAATTAATTTTATGCAAATCTAGTCCTTTGAAGAAGAACTAAAGTCCTTACACCGGGACAACCGAGACTTCGACTATACTTTGTTTAAGCAAAGAGAGTCCATTTTAGAGGCGTCTCTGGAAAGATTCTGGTAGCAAATTAGCACGGTATTAAAATACTTATTCCACCGTCACCTTATTCTTTAGTTTAGAAAATGAAACTTTAAAGAAGGAATTGGAGGAAAAAACGCTCGAAATAGAGCGCTTGCGAGCAGAAATTTCTCCTACCGACGCAGAATTAATACGTTAACGGCAATACCAGGATAATCAATCCCAGTTAACAATAAATATACGCCCCTCGGGCTGTTGCTTCAAAATTATGTGGTTAACTTAATCTGTTGCCCAAAGAAAAAAGCACACAAAAAGATTATTCCAATTCCAACTTAATGGGGGGGTTAGTTAAAGAAAATAATTCTTTAGTAGTTCTTAGTTTTACAGTTAATTTGATTTTCTAATCTGACCAGTGTGCTACCAACTTTACTAAGATCAACATCGGCAGTTGTGCAGTACTCGAAAAGATCTTTAACTTCCTGATTTAACTAAAGGAAAGATTGTAATTAATCCTAGTTTTAATAGCTAGAAAGGTTACCTTTTCTTGGTAAAGGCGGTTTGGATTGTTACTGGAAAGAAAATGGAGAGTGCGCATGAACGCTAAAATCAAATTAGGAAACTTTCTAAATGCGTTTCGAGAGAACTCCCAATCTTGCAGGTCAAGACATTTGAACTTCTGCGTAAAAGCAGGGGGTTGACATTCTTGTATAAGCGCTTCCTAGTAAAAAGGCTTAACCGCATAAGCCTCGTGGTGCAGACCCTTGAAGTGAAGATCATAAAACTGAAGCACATCGCCATAGAAAAGCAAAAGTTCAAATTCCTCTTTAAAATAGTCGTCCCGGTAGGAATCCAAAAACAATACGTCTTCAAGCAATTCGCGATCACTGTTCGTGCTTCAAATATTTTTATCACATAAAGGACCTTTAATCTTCTCTCTGAGCTCCAAAGCGCCGCCGGGATAGGTCGCCAATATAAGCAGATCTCCGTCTAGCGCGCGGTTGCACATGGCAGTCACAAGTCGTAAAGTTTTTTTTTTATAAAATAGCATCTGCTTTTCCTCCCCACTGAGTTGGAAGTAATGGCTTGCAAGGGCCGCTATAGCGAGCGTCTGGAATTTCAAATTTCCTTGTAACAATAAATAACCTGCCAAGCAATATCAAACAAGAAAGCCTTTTCCGTGGCTTCCTCCTCCGAGCAGTGAACAAGCAAGTCAGCTACTTCGCGCCAGGAGAGGCCAAACTCCGTAGTCAACACTCCAGGGGTGCCCTGCAGTGATTATGTTAATTTTTAATTTTTATAGGGACTGAAATATGTAAAAAAACTTTAGAAGGGGCTCCAAACAAAATGCAAAGGTCAGAATACTCGAGAGTCTGGATCAATTGCTTGACTTCCTCTAAAAAAAAATAAATAAATATAAAAAAACCAAACGAATCAGCCGGACCGAGAAATTTGGATCTGGGCAATAAAAACTGGTAGTGCAAGCACGTGGTTATGTCATCACTAGCTACGAGCTTTCATTGCGAGGGGAAAGTATAAATAAAGATCTTGTAATCCGCAAAAAGAGGATATACCCGCGCGTACTGGCAGATCAACAGCTCAAAGTTCAATTTTTCTATATTTTTATGGCGCTCAACTGATTGTCCGCAATCCAAAACATAATTAATTGCAAAAAAAAGTAACGTTGAAGTTAACTACATAAATTAGAAGTCGTGTCCGTTTCAAATAAAAGGCCCGCACACTTTAAAGCAATTGCAAGGTGGACACCATCGTCGAATCGCTCAGCGATGCCCAAGAGATGCGCCACCGCCCTTTCGTAATATCCAGAAAAAAAAAGTATCTACAGGCGGAAACTTTTAAAATTGGATTTAAGGTAAGAATTAAAAAGAAGTTTTCCTGCAGCTCCTTCACAGATGAAAAAGAATTCTCAGTCAACATACGCTTCACCTCATTAAAGGGTAAACACAGCCGCCTCGTATCAACGATACCAGTGCGGAAAAGATAAAGCTGATTAAAAAAAAAATTAACTAATCACGATGGATGTGCAACTTGGCAAAGATTTACTCTCAGCCACAGAACATCTTCAACGGTTTTGAAGATTTCATAAGGATACTCAGCGAAAGCCGAGTTGTTTCCGATTATATTCGCCACTACACGCTGGTAGCCGTCCCATTGTTTCCGGTGCCACGGCTTGGTAAGATTGCTAAATTACCGTTAACCAACCACCGGTAACCAGGCAGACGAGAAGTACCGAGGAAATCTCCGTCTGAGTTCGTCTAGACTCCCGTCGCACTGAGGATCCCGGTAACAGCCCGACCGGAGAAGATAAAAATACTTGGCATATGCAAACTGTCCATCAGTCTCGCTCTAAATTTAAGACAAATAAAAATAAACGAGAAGATCTAGAAAGTGTGCCAGTGTACAGAAACTAACGAGTCCTAAAGAAAAAAGATAGCGGTCAATATTTTCTTCTTTATTTTCATTTAAAGATTGATTGCAGTTCGCGAGAAAACAAAAAAATCTAAAAAAATTTGAACAAGAAAAAAGAGTATTGAACTTTTAGATTACTGTTTTTCTAGATATAATAGTCTTCCCTCAAAGTCATTATGGTGCAATGTAATAAACCGTACAAGGTTTAAGCAACTGAGCATCTTAATAAAAATTAACATTGCTACTACATAATGAAATATAGTATTAAGTGGAGACATGACGATCTTCACTTGACTTGGAATTCAAATATAATTTCTTTTTCACTTCTACAAAGCCTTCAATAACTTGTTGGTAATCCAAAGCATCAAAAGCACGGCTGTAGCCAGCAGCTAAGGAGTAACGATTCAGCTCAACAACTCCCTTACCATACTAAGTGATTTAACATTATTGACTTCACGGAACAATAAAGTAATACATATTTATATAAGTACCTTGCGCATGAAATCGGTAACTAGCTGGGGGTCTACTGCTAACTGATTACGAAAAGGAAAGCCTAAGAGCTACTATTTTAAAATTAAAGAAAGGGGTGATAGATAAAATTTTAGTCAACTACCTCTTGACAAACTAAACTTTCAGTTTTACAAGAGAGTCGAGCAAATTCTTTAGAATAATAACGGTCAAGTAATTCTTGTGAAAGAGTTTGCACATAATTACGACTCTTTTATATTATAAAATTAGTTACAAGGGAAAGTAAAAATAAACAAAAAAAAATTTTAAACTAGATAATCAGATTTATCGGAAGTTTGCCTCATAGCCTCCTCCTTTTTAAATTGCAAGTAACCTAAAAAAAAGTTGTAATCATAAAAAATACCCTAAAAATTTTAAAGTATAACCACCTTGTAACGCGATAACTTTTAAAGGTTTCCTCGGCTCATTAAATTCTTTTATACTCTGAGAAAAACCATTTGTATCAAAGCCCCGTTTAGCAAGAAGGGCTTCTCTATTGTAATAATTAGGTGTAAAAACCTTAAAAAACCTAAAATCACTAGATTATCAAAATACGCTTGAAAAGTGTTTTTATTAAAGCAAGTTTGACGCTCTAATAACTTCTTTGAAACTTCATAAACTTGTTGTAAATCTAAAAGTGATTTAAAGCAATCATCCTCCTGAAACACAATTAGCTGAAAAGCTCTTTGATTTAAGAGGTTTAAGTTAGCCAAAAGTTTCGATTCAAGCATCAGTTATTTAGACCAAAGAATTTAAATACACTAAAAATATAAACAATTTCCGTTTATTTTTTGATTGCAACTTGAATTTTTTTTGTCTAATTTCCTTTGAATGATACTCAAAATACTGGCTGACCAACGGAATAGTTAGCGGGTAAAAGGCAAAACGTGGACACTTTTCAAACTAAGCCAGACTATATTGCCCTACCCTTATAAGGCGTTTATCCAATGCACTTGTTACTTTACTCTACTATTAGTACATGAAAACCTACTTTACTTTTCTGAGACTTTTTACCAGTTACGAAACTATTACAAATATAATTAACTCACTTTGTACCAAAAATAACTGTGAGGTTATAACGAGTATATCTAACCTTATGCTCAAATATAGTGCCAAAAAGAGCTATCTAGCTTGGTGAGAGCTATATCCTATTTTTCAGTTCCTTAAAAGTTTGCGTAAACTGTTTTATTTCCAAATTTACAAAAACCAGAAACTTTGTTTAGGACTATCGGCCCTTAAGTTTACTATCCTGCATTAGTAAAGTTGCAGACTGTGATACTCGCGCGATTAAAATATTAAATGAATGGCTCGATTTAGTTTTTATGGGTGCACTCTTCATCTTAATTAATACCTATTCCTTTCAAAATGTATTACTAAGGCCTTTAGTACAACAAAAATAAATTCTTATAGTTTGAGAAAGCTCTCGAGAAAGTTTAATATAGCGGATTTGATACAAAATAACCGAGTTTTATTTTTCCCTGCCAGTCCATATAATAACGCTTTTTTTATTGAACAAAAAATTTACAGATCGAAATCTTAATAAAAAGGATTAAAACATAGTAGTCCCGTCAGGGGCACTTTTGTTTCGCTTGCATTCGCGATTTGTATCGCAAACATGTCCAAAGCTAATACCGCGCCCCTAACCCTATACGAAGAATGACACCACTATGCTCTGCAGTCCTAAAAAGAAAGAGTTTAAAAAAACATTGGAGCATGTAATTAATGATAAGAGAGGTTCAACAAAGAAGAGGACAACAATTGCAGAGACAGCGTTACAAAAAACTTGGATTAAAAAAGAGGTAGAAACCAATTAAAAGCAAACAAGACAAGTCAGGCCCTCTCTTAAGGAAAACAGAAATTCTTGGAAGAATATCAAACGCTAAAAGGTAAAGTGGTGCGTTTTAAAATCTGCGAAGGTTTAACAAATTTCAGAGGAAACTGCAAAGATTGCATAGAAGCAACTAGGAGATTTTTGTTTGAAGATTATTGATTGCTTGACAACCCCCGTAAGAAAGTTGCATATATTTAAGCTTCTAAAAGCGAGCTTAAACAGGAAGCTTAGTTGGAGGGTTTCTCGAGGTTTAAAATGGTGCTGCCGAATTAGAGAAGCTAACTATAATGCGGAGGGCCAGATGAAATATAAGTAGCGACAGGGTTTTAACCTCCCATGATGCGAAAAAAAAAGTTTAACAAGGAAAAAAAAATGGAGGTAAATACTTTTACTGTGTGCATATTAATGATGAAGGGCATCATGTAAGTAAAGTCTGTTTTTAAAACATATTGAAAAACTAATACTTTTCCGTTTTAAAAACAAGACTTGAATTTCTTTGGCTTGCATAACACATGATGGCAAAAGAGGTCGCTCTAGTAGGCAGGAGGGGTTAAAGAGGGAAGCAAAGAGAAGGAACAACGACAACGCACGTGTTTTATTTTTACTGGTTTAAATATATATTTTTCCTTTTTGTTATATACAACTGAGAATTGTCCTCTGAGGGCAGAATCCTACTTAATGATTTGAGGGATGTCATGAGCGTCGAGATCTTTTTTTTTTTTGTCGTTGATGTTGTAAATCAGTGTTTGGGAGGTACTAAGCGTTGTGCTAAGGCTGCTCAAGAATAATAAAATAACACCTTTGTAATTTTAACTAACTCTATATTATTATTTTTTTTTTCTTTGTTATATTATTAAGCATATTACTCACAATCTGTATACAATATATTAGTTTTTAAAGTTACTAAGACAACTCATTTTGCAAAATTATTGTTCCAGACTTTTCACTTGATTACGTGGATTTACTTATTACACACGCAATTAGCAAAAAAATGCTTGAAATCGGTTAGAGAACACAACATTTGCGTTACCATCATACGGAAACCAGTGCGTTCAACTCGCCAGTAAAAGATACTTATCTACACACTACTTACTATGCAAAATATGTGAGCGTACAAAAAGTTTCTACTAACTCATATGAAAGCTGTTTGTAAGATGAAATATCCTATTTTTCCCCTAATAAACCAGAAAATTTAAGCACAAAGCAAACTAAATATTCGTTGAATGACGAGGAAAAGCAATATCTCAAACTTGAACCTGAATGTCTATAGCTCAACGTAACGACAAAAAAGTTTCGTCCGAATATCGTTTTAAGCTAGTTTATACATTCTAACTACGATATCGACTACCTATGCCTCATGTTTAAACGTCCGTTGCATTTTAAAAATGATAAATGGAGAGGTTCGATCTCATCGTTCACCGCTCCTGAAAGAAGAGGAACGAAAGGTTTACTTATCTTCCTCCCGTTTGCATTAGTATAAAACAAAAACCGAATTTAAAATGTATAAATACCAAGATTCTTACTCCCGGCCATACACATGTGGTGTGCGACAGCGAACACTTTTTTACAAAAAAAGAAAAAAAGTATCGCGATTCTTTTGATCATTCTCATAGTTGGGCGCAATTTTTTCGCACGTATGGCAACAAACGGGAATCAAAATGGACCTAGGGTACTTTTTTGTGCTTTACGCTTTGTCAAAAAGTTATTTAAGCAGAGAAAACTTGACGGAAACGGAGCAAAAATGTTATGGTAAGATGTTAATGGTTGCGCTATACCCAAGTCATTGGAGAGGTTTTGTTAAAAAAACCTTTAATACTACAGCACCATTCCATAGAGCTTAGCTGGAAATTATTGTTAGCTTTATTTCACGCAGGTTACCGCCAAAAATTACGACAAAAAGCTAAATTCATTATAGTTGCTTCCATATATTAATGCAAATTATTATAACATCTCTCTATTAACAGAATAAAATGTTCCAACGTTATTATCCAACTCGTGAGAGGAGTATCATCACGATTAACAAATTAATCCATTTATAATAAATAATTAAAATTTGATTTTTTTTACTTAAAATAAATAGAAAGAGGGTGTAGAGAATTACAGGTAGCTTTTTTCGCAATTGTTGAAGTGACAAGCCGAAAGTCCTCGAGACTAACAATAAAACAATACGTTATATAATATAATATGATAAGCCATAGACTTTAAAATAATATAATAATGAAGTCGAAGAACTAAAAGTGGATCATCTTTATCAAATGATTTAGGGTCCCCCAGGAGCACCAAACCAACCTCAGATAATAAGAGCAAGAGTTAAAAAAATTGCAGTAGCGCATGCGTGGGCTGCATTTATATAATCACATGAAGTCCTTAGATTCCTCACTTGTAAACACAACACAAGATTATGTTTGATATAACTATCCATTTTAGCCCATGATTGAAATGAATTAAAATTTTGAATAAAATATTTATTTTGTGTATCTTGCTATTATGTTACAAAAGAACTCGTCAAGAAGCTTAAAAGCTTCGGTTTCATATGATTAATAAACCTCCCGCGCACGTGCTAATTATTACCAAAACTGTTATGATCCTTAAAAACATACCATTAGTTTGTTATCAGGCACCATTCCATAGAAAGTTAAATCAAAAACTCAAAACACTAGTAGCGAATGTGCTACATATGTGAGATGAGAGAAGGGATATTAAAATTTTTAATAAAATAATATTGCAAAAAATGATCAGTTATAAGATAGTTTAACGTTCAAGCAAAGTAAAAAACTCTTGAGTAGTTAAAAATATAGAAAAAGTACACGGGTGGGTAGGGAGACAACAGATAAGCACTCTTTAATTTAAATAAAAAATTTTATAATTACAAAAGATCGGCGGCATGCTATCAAATATTGTCTAAACAATTTTATATAAATGTTGGTACAACATTGTTTTGTCTTAGTAAATAACGAGTTATTAAGAATTATTAATTTCGCAGGCTTTTAAAGTTTAATTACTCTCAGTGTGAGGATTCTCAGCTAACGCTAAAATTTGCGAACTAAGGGTCAGCCAAAGTAAAGGTTAACTTAAAAAAAGGTTAGGAAGCGAAATAACGTCAATTATCTTACCACTCCTCCAAAAACTTTTTTATCGTGAAAAACAAATGTTTATACGCTCATTCGTTATGTAATGTGTAATTTATTATGTGGCGGTTTCCTTATTAGTTTGTTTATATTTGATTAATGTACTCTTCCACCATCCTGAACGTTTTGTTAATATGCCAGTAGATTAGTGAGGTTAGTTTTGATAAACGGTTTTTCTTTTTTTTTTACTCTTAATTTTTGTAGATCGTTTATGCTAAATACCAGGATTTTTATTCAATATTTATTGAATAGTAGAGTGTTGCTATTGTAAATTTGCTTTTTCTTTATAATGTCCCTTCAAACTGGTATAAGACCTAACGAAGAACTTGAAACTACTTTTGAGGTATATTTATATAACCTTGAGAGGTTTACCCTTTCCGTATTTATTAAATAAAATTAGTCCTTGAGAGAACTTTCCTGTCCTCTCAGAGCTTGTAAAATTTCCATTATATCTCGTAAATTTTGTAAACTTTTTTATTTTTTTTAGCTTATTACTTCTACTTAACAGAAGAACTTGTGTGCTCTGGGATATTAAAAGCTAAAACATTTGAGAAGAGTACAACTTCATTTTAGCTTCTCTACTTAAGCCTTCGAACCGTGTTACATCTTGTTACGTACCGATAAAGTTGATAAAGAGGCGTTTCTTAAATGATTTCGCTATTTTTCCTTTAAGTTAATTATATACACCACTAACTACTATAAGAAAACCAGTCTTTGGGTATTTATCTCCTACATTCCTGAAGACTTAAAGGTTTAAGCCCTTGTTTATTTTGTTCAAGCCTTATTAAACCTTATTTACTAGCTATAATAATAATTTATATATTGTAACTTTTTTTAGGTTAGAGATAAAATGGTTTATGCCGCTACCAAATCAACTTAGAAAATTTTTTTGGAGAATGTATTTATGTTGAAATTTCTGGGGCGACCCCCGCAGAAGTCCTCTACTCTGGTAGATCTTTACTATTTTAATAAATTGTTTTTTTATTTTAATACTACCCATGAGGTTATACGCTACACAGAAAACTTGAAGGTTCCACGCCGTCTTTGTCATTTTCTGAAATTGAGAAAAAAGAACTCGAGTCTCAAGGTAGTTATCCTGTGCTTTATTAAACTTTGTGTACTGCTTATGGCAGGAAAGGCAATTTCCTCCGTGGGTTTGTCCACGCGCTATGAAGTCGCCAGGAAATTATCCTTTCCTTTAAATAAGGTAATTTTTAAAAATCCTTACAATTAGTCACTTTTTTTCGCAGACTTAAAGTAAATTTTTTTACTTAACAAGTTTTTTCTTACACTACTAATGAATTTTTAACTTCAGCCGGCTGTAGGGGCATTAAAGGAATTGGCAAATCTCACAATCACGTTTGTTTCGCTCGCCTTAAATCTTATTGAGGAGAATACCTGCCCAGATCAGCGTGCCAACTCCACGGGTAAAGAAATATCCGCAGCGGTACTTATAGAACTAAATTTAGTTTATTAACCCAAAAATGTTTTTTACCAAAATTATCTTTCGAAAGTCCTCGATACTTGTTTACTGCTTTCAACCACGAACGTCAGGGGACTGGGGAAACCCCCATTAGTATGCGTAATCGCTCAGCGCTGAGACAGTCGCTTGTTTATTTTTATTTATTGCAAATAGTTTTTGTCTACCTCTGTCCCGGAATTAAGTGCTCGATTAAAGAAAGGATGTGTTATTCCTCTTGTAAAAGCTCTGTAGTCACCGCTGCAGAAGAGCTGGGCTTAAAGATTACTACAAAGGTAACCCGTATACCTAATCGTATCCTTCATTATTGGCTACAAACATGCAGATAAAGGTAGCTGGAAAGTGGTACGTACCGGGAAGACAATTACAGTAGTAATTATAGTAATAACTAATAATAATACTGGTTAAGAAGTATTAGTGTTCGCTTTTAAGAGGGGCCACCCCAAATGTTTCAACCACGTTACTATATATAATTATTATGGTGTAGTACTAACTTGCTCCTCTTTATATGTATGCGATGGCTACTCGTTATTTTTGTTAACTACACATTTCTTGCAGATAGAAATATCATCTGCTCAGGAACTGACAGAAGAAAGCATTCTTTCTAAAGTACGCCATACTCAACCAGGTTGATAATGAACTATTTACTTATTTCTTGTAGTTGTACCCACAAGAAAAAGCAAGAACACATAAGTTTTCAAAGCCTAAAGCAGTTGACCATGGCGCGCGGAGACTAATAACTTAACTAATAGTTTCTAGAAAGAAAGCAACGCTGTGATTTTAATCAAACATAACCGTTGCATTTCAACGCTCTTCCAGTTTAGTCCTTTACAATAAAGTTTTGCAAGAGAAGCTGAAGTTCGTTTATCAAAATTTTGACTTTTTTATCCAATAAAGCTGTGTCAAAATCTACAAAACACTAGTAAATAAACCAAAAGAGGCAACAAAGATATAAAAAGGTAGATTAAAATTCCTTAAAGGCTGCTTAAAAATAAAAAACTTTTTAGCAGCCCCTTGCGTTCGTTGACAAAAAAAATTATCGTTGTCTACCTTTAAGGAAGAGTTCAACTAGTTTTTAAAATTTTGCAAATAGTACACTTTTTACACATGTTAAGTTAGATATTTTTGTTTTTGTATAAACAGCGAACCTTCTAGTTCTTCAGCATGCATTTTAGCAATCGTTAACAGGAACTATAGAAAGTGCTCATAATTAAGCCTAAAATTACTAAGTAGTTAACGTTTAACGTACAAATCTGTTCATAGGATAGGCAGAGAGGAGATATGTTTCACCTTTTATGTGTATGGATTCTAATATGTCCATAGCTAAGATGCTGGAAGCTATTATAAAATTAATTAATAGGACAAGGTGCTAGTAAGATACCAATATGACCATATAAAATATTGTATATAAAAACAACTAAGTGAGCTCGCTGCTTCCTTCCAGCGTAGTATTCGTTGCATATTCACTTTATCAACAAAACTTTGCATAACTTCATCTTTTCCTTCTTTAACTCTAAATAACCATATGGTATAATTTGCACCTTTCAAGGCTACAATTCATATACTTACAACAGCTTTCCTTCTTGAGTTATTAACGCGATCGTAATATTACTAGGATATTCTAACTTTATACGTAGTAAACAATCTCTAGCTTGAAGTTGGGCCTTCGAAATGCTAACTCTTCTACAACACTCCATTCGGGCTCAGCATATTAAGTAGTTAAAATGCTATCATAAGTTGTAAACCTCGATTTTAAGGCAGCTTGCACCACTAAAGAAGGCTTTGATATTCGACCAAAACGGCACAGTGGCCGAAGATGAGCTATTAAATATAGTTACGTCCATGTGTCATTTTCTAACCTCTGTCAAGGGGGTCAAGAAAAACACTACAACTAACCTAATGTCACTGATACCAATTAATTAGTTATAACTTTAATTGGGCCTTAACCTATAATTGTATTAAGTGTAGCGAAAAGCATAGATTAAACCAAACACTGAACCACCCACAACCACATTCAGCGGACTCATTTCCATTACAGAAATACTAGCCTAAGAAAATTTATCCCCCTCTAGGTTGCAGCTCAAGTTAATGTAATTCCTGCAGCACCTCAGCACATGGAAGAGACAGCTTTAAATATAAAGGCAGTCAACCAAATTTAAAAGTAAGTTTTTTTACGCTAAATATTTAACTTATTGAACTCCTAATATCCATTGGTTTTTCTCCAAACTGAATTTAAAAATATATTCTTAGCTATCATTGAGAGAAAGAAATAGCAATGGCTTTCACTAAGAGAAGAAAAAAATTTTTCTCTAAACGAATTACACAAACTTGAAAACCTTCGGTACATAATATTTTCTTTTATAAGTCGAGTGATGGTTTAAAAACGCCTCGCTCACTTTTAAATTCTACTTAGTTATTTTGTAAAGAGGCAAATAAAAAGTTAATTTTTTAGGCTAGAGTGACATAACCATCGTTTATGAGTAAGCTCTGGAAATACCTTTAATAGTCAGTAAAATGGATAATTACCCGCTATCGGGGGCTGTTCATTGCGTTAAAAAGTGCAAACACTAACATATACGCAAACAACCTACAAATACACAGCTAAAAGTAAATCACACAGAATAATATTCAAAGATGAAGCAATGAAAAACACCAAACTAATATTTCTAAAATAAACGCAATTTTAAGGTAGGAATAATGTTCTGACACATCTTTTAATGGGGACCAAATTTATTTATGTTTAATTCAAGCAATCTTAAATTTAATCTAAACAAATATACATAAATGGAAATGCTTTTTGACTTTGTAAAGATGTGTAAACGGCTTGGGCACTCGTGTTCTAATTCATTTACAGAAGAGGTGAATTCAATTCAAGCGGCTTAAAGTCTCTTGCGAAGACTAGCCGTAGTTATGTCTGCCTAAAAAAAAATTTAAATAAAATAACTCCTATCCTTTTCGTTCTCGTCCCTCAGCTATTGGTGTTATTAAATTGTGTTAGCATAATATACACTGTAAAAAGGCTATTAACTAATATCAGAGTGAGGGGTTATAAGGAACGAAGGGTTGATCGCCGTGGTCTATTTTGCCCAACAGTATTTTTAACTGAAAGGCTAATTTTTTTAAACATCGTCTCACAAAAGACGTTTGCCTGCGCTATAACTTAAATTTAACATTAAAAGAATACTAAAGGGCCCCATTTACATAGATGAAACCAAAACGTATAAATTGGCATTGAGGAGAGTAGATTTTTTTTTCAAGAGAATAATCTTACAATGAAACGCCAGTTAAATTACTGCTCGGATTCTGTTTGTTCCTTTCATTGTCTCATATTACATAAAGTTGTATACATACTTTATCTACTAAATACTTATACGCAACCTCGAGCTATCTTCATTGAAGTGGCGCTACTACTTGGTGCGTTACAGATTCTCGATTTATTGAAGGAGTTCTTTTAGTGGATATGTGCTCTCCTTTAGTTGCCTATCTCTGAGGGAACAATTTAACTTAATTTTTTTTTTATGCATATGTTAAGTATATAAACCTGGCATAAATAAAAAATATTTTGTTAGTGATTAGCCGTTTGGTTTAAAAGAAATTAACTATAGGAAGCACTGTATAATTTAAAATCAAATTGCGCAAGTTATAATTTTTAAATAGTGAAAACGTTTTAGTATATGGAATAAAGTTTATAATAAATAATGACATTTACAAAACTTTCTAATAACCATTAGTGACGCTCGCAAGTAAAAAACAACAATAAGAATATCACCCCAGCTATAAGATTATTTAATAGAGAAAATGTATAAGGTGTTGGCGGGGGGAGGACAGAAACCGTCTGTTAGAAATTGGGGTTAACCGTGCAACTGTTAAAGACGAATAAAAGAGCTGCGTTGGTGGAAATCGAAATTACAACCTTTAGTTTGCAAGTCACATTGTTCTTAACTTTGTTATGATCCCAAGGTTTTAGGGTTTTCTGGAGATGATAAGCGCCCGCAATTAAACTCCTTAAGAGCTAAGATAATAAAATCATAAAAAAAATAATAGAATTAAGAAACTAGAAACAGAAGGTAAAAAAGGAACTTGAAGAAGTAAAGGAAAGATGCTATAAGATGCAGAGGTAAACAAACAGATAATTTCTCAAGGTAGACTTAAGTAGCTGTGTACGTGCTAAAAAAGCTAATATAATTATGGATGGTTCAGAAAATGCATTGGTCGCAACTAAAATAAATACGACCAAAAAAATTAAAGCTGAAGACGCATGCTAAATTATGCTCTTTTAAAATAGAGCTCAATTAAATCAATATCCGTATTCATGACTAGTATGTACTGGTATATTTGAAGGATATATGACCTCATTTGAGGATTGTAAGTTACAACTGACGTGGCTTAATTTTAAAAGTAGCTTAATTTAGTAAGTTTAATAATTTTAAACTATTTTATACACAGCACTTAAGCAAGCTTAACTATTCGCTGGTTCTTTGCCTATTATGGTAACCAGAGTTAACTTTATAACTTTTTAAATGAGAACTATAACATAGATATCGAGGCTATTCACTTAACTTTATAAATTTTATAAGTAGTTGTATAAGTTTTACCGCAATAGATAGTTTATTTAAAAGCTGAAAAATTTTATTTCACATTTTAAAGACGGGTGCGAATGTTCATATTTAATATTTTTTTAATTTCGTATTTTAGTTTGCAAAAAAATTGGTGGCATCTAAAATTAGGTTTTAATAACTAATTCTGTGAAAAGTCGCGTACGCGGTATTTTAATTACGCAAACTAACCTCAGGAAGAACTTTGAACTGTGTCTTGTGACAATAATAAGCACTAACGGCTATAAAGCACCAGATTAAGCATTCCAAAGGATATCGATGTTAATATGATTTAATTGCCTCAATTATTATGTCAATTCTGTAGAAGCAGGGAAGCGGAAAAGGAACTATTAATTACTTAAGCCTACACCTAAATAACAAAGCTGCAGATAGTGATGCACTAGTCAATTATTAGCTTGCAAGACGCACTTGAAATCTTCCTGTGGTTAGCGGTTTGCAATATTATAGTAAGCGCGTTCGCCTTCTTGACTAAAGCGAAATTTAGTAGATGCTATTTCATAAAAAGAATTAGTTTGTAGGCGTATGGTATAAAATACTTATCTATACACGGGTACTAAATTAATTAATAACAGGTTCAATATATACCTAAATAATTTATCTAATTTAGATGTTTACAATATAGGTAACCGCAGTTCTGAAGCAAGGATTTAAAAATGAAAATTAGAGTTAACTACTGTGATAAACAACAAGCGATATATAACTTTGTTAATGAAAACGTTAGAGTAAATGAACTTAAATATAAAATTTTTGAGGGAACAGGTGTGCCCCAGCGCTATCAAAGACTTATGGTGGACGGAAAAGTAAGTAATTTTTTTTTTCATTGCTCTAATCAATTAAATTAAAATATTTAGAAAGCTTATAAGGGTCCTTAAGCTTATATACTAAAAAATGTATATTTTACATTAAGGTTTTGCGTGATGAAGAGTTTTTAGTTAAAAACAAACCGATTTCAGCCATTAAAGTTCAACCAACCAAGCTAAATGAGAAACACGGGGAATTTTTAGAAACAACTTTGTTATACGACGATCTACAAGGCGGTAATACGGGAGACCAAAATTTAACGATTAAGTCTTAGTGTTACTAAATAGGAGCTTGCATCGATAACTGTTGCGGTTGTACTTGCGTATGTAGGCCCTTTGAGTGCATACATAGAGTATGCTGCTTTTTCACAGGTCCTTTTTATGTAGTGTTAAAGTAACGTGAAATTAACTGGTTATAATTATTTAAGGTTGCGACTTACAATTTAATACTTGCCAATTGTTCTGCTGGCGTTGTATATGCCTTCCGACGAGTGAACAGAAAAGTGAAGCAGAAGCGTAACCTCCAGTATATGTAATGCTGCGCCTCTGCATTTACGAATGCACTAAATAAAAACTTTTGCAGTCGTTCCTCTTTTATCAAGCTTAAAGTAAAAGTAGCATATAGAGTAAAGTACCGCTTAAATATAAACAGGATAAAACGCATCCTTCAGGATAGGAATCGTTGTTTACCCCGGTAAAACACGTGAGTCACCACGTGGTACATTAAACCACTTTGCACCTGCTTCATCTCTCACTTTAGGATTATTACTTCCTAAATGTATAAATTCCCTCGAAAAAAATGATCGTTTCTCCTCTTTTTCTCCATCAAAAACAGTTTAAGATGATTCAGTAACTAATAAAAAAGTCCGAACAAACAGAAGGTGACAATACCACACTAAAAAAAAACATATATTAATTTATCTTTTAAAAAATAATTATATTTACTTACAAATGTCAAGCTATATTATGAATACTGGTGAATAACAAATTAAAGATTTAATTTTAAGCTAATAAAGAAAAGTGGTTAGCAATTGAATATTGTACAAAAGTCAGAGCACCTGTTAGGTTTCGATACTCAACCTAAAATGACCACGCTTCAAGTTTAATGCGAAGGCCCTTTAGGGAACCCAATTAATAATTGGAAAAATAAAGTCTATATTACATAGCTTATTAATTTATACTTAAAAATTTTTGGTATAAAGTTTCAAGTTTTTCTAGTCATCTTAGTAAATTGGGAGTTCGTAACTTAAGAATTTTCTGCAATATGTATGAGAATACTCCATTAAAGCTCATTTAATTTGTTACGCAGCAAGTCTAGGAACTAGGTGGTAGTAATTATAACTAAATTAAAGTGTATATACACATCTCATCTTTAACTTAAATAATTTTACAAGAGGTTTCAAGCTTGTTAAAACATTTTCAATGTGCTCATTGGAAAACTGATACTTTAATTCTTCCCAGACAACAGTTAATATATACTTGTCTAAAATTTTGTTATAATTATTACTATAAAATGCACAAAAAAAATCATTTTCTCTAACAAAAAGAGTCATAATGTATAAGAGCTGTCTATATTATGTACTCTTAATGGATTTTTTTTATTAGCTTAAAATATCGTTACAGACTTTTCAAAAAGTTTACAACTATTAAATAAAATGTTAAAGCGCTATTATGGCCCTTGATACTTACAACGCAGATTACTTTAAGGTTTATTTGTTATTTACTAGTTTTTGCTAGTTCAGATTAATATAATTAATATTTAAAACAATTATTTTTACTTGAAGAAAAGTTATGAGAAGGTGTTTTACGTGTCCGTAATAATGGTACTTTACCCTTCCAGAAGGCTACTTGCTTTTTTTGAGTGGTAGTGAGTCGCCCAAGTTCTTCGGAAAAAGAGCGGGACCAGGTTATTTAAAGAAAACGAACTTATAAAGAGCAATTTACAACTCCCGCTAATTTTTTATGGTCATCTCGTTAATTATAAACGAAATAAAAAGTTTGCTGAATGACGTAAACGGAGCACCTACTATTATGCATTAATAAATAAGTAAAGTGACCTTTTAAAACGCAAAAAGTAAATTTTAAGTCAGATTTTTTAAAACATTTAAAACCATGGGGCATCTTAGTTGTACTTTTCTTTTTTAATTAACTGATTCAACAAAGGATGATCGCACCAAACTTAATTTTACAACGGAGGAAATCTTAAGATCTAGTAGACAGTATATATTGAAGGCATACTCTTTAATATTGCTAAACACCCCCTTTAATATCTCTTAAAGTTTAATGAAGATTTTTCAAGGCAACAACTTACCAAAGCTACTCCTGATACTACGATGCAATATCAAGCAAACATCACAGCTGGGGAAGATATAACGCCTCTTGTACGAGCAACTCGCGATAAAAATATTTAAGAATGTCAGACACTTTATAGTCTCTATTCTAACAGCAACAACTTAAAAAAAAGTAATAATATAAAAAATTATATGTTACGGCCATTATTTGAGTTAAGTCTCAGATAGAAAGATAAAAAAATTGTTTTTATACCGTCGGGGACAATGACCGGCACAACCCATAAAGATTCTATGTTAAAATTTTTAATAATTTGATTTTTTATTCACAGAGGCCTAAAAAGTTACTAAACTTAATTCAAATTTCTGCTAAATTTTAAGAAAATAATCTGGCCGCCCTTTGAAATAGAAATAGTTAGCCATAAACAAAATAAAGTGCAAATAAAAACACAAAGCGTAACGGCGCGCAAAGGTTAAACTCGTTTACCACGAAACGCGACGGATACGCTTATAGGTCTGCCATTCGCTAAGCTTTGTCATATGCTTTGGTTTTTAAGGAATCGTAAGTTTTAGCTGGTGAAAAATTTGGAACTAGTATCAATCCATGTTGCCTACTGAAATTAATGATGAACTATTACTAGATTATGAGGACTTCGTAGTAAAACTGAAACAAGTTATTATACTTACTTAAAAATTAGACAGACTCTTATTTTGCCTGCAGGCAGTCATAAACGAAAAATGTTCTCCAGAACTGCTACCCTATGAAGATTTTTTGGTTGTGAGTTTGACAGAAACCTTGGAAAATCAGGTATATTTTTAAAACCTTTCTAACTTTTTTCTTTGTAAAATTAAAAAAAAATATAAGAAGAGTAAAGCTTTACTAAGCCTACTTCCTTGAAGTGCTTTAGTAACCGTATTTCGTACAACAATTTCTGTTGTAGTACTTTTTTTTTGTAGACCGTACTAAGTCATTGTTATATTATATAATACAAATTCTTTCATGAACTCCCTCACGTTTTTTTAAAGCGACTTTTAAAACAGTAGAATCTTTGTGAGTTCACATTTTTCGTAACTAGTTTTTAATTAAATTATTTTTTGTGAAGTCTAGCTCTTGTCTAACTAATTTTCTATAAAAGTTTTGAAGGCTTTAAGTTCACCTATCTATTATTTAGTTTTTTATAGTGCAAAACTTGTTATTTCTCCTTTATACTGTACAGTGGTGCTTTACTATTATAACATAAAATATAATTAAAGTTCGTTTAAAATTAAAACAATAATATTGGTGATTGGTTTATTTAAAATTTATTAATTTATTTCCTTTTTATATATAAAAATTGTCCTCATCGAGGAAGAGAATTTGGCCTTAATTAACTTAGATGATCCAGTTGCTTTATTACGCTCACAAATAGGTTATATTGAAGTAGATCGCATTAATTATTTGTTGAAAAGTTATATGAGGACAAGAATGTTTAAGGTAGCGTTTTTTAAATCGCTATCTTGCCTTACCGAGAAAATCAAATTTTTCCAATTATTAACCACTTAAATTTATTTTTAGATGGAAAGTTTTCCCGCTTTTACTATTAAGTCAAAGAAAATGCGCCAGAGACTGTCTCCAGATGAATTTTCTTATTGCAAAAGGTATTATTTACTTAATTAAAGGCTTTTTAAATATATAGAGACAAGTGTTTAAGGCCCGTTTGTCTCGTTTACTTGTAGACTCCTAAGAATTTTTTATTAACTTAAGTAAAGCTCAAATTGAATTTAAAGAGAATTAAATTATTTTCACTTATTTTCTATTAAATTTGCTTACCTTTTCTTTTTTTTATAAAGTTAAGCTTTAAAGCTTGATCTTTTCTTTATAAGTTATATTTTATTTTAGATATGTAGATCTAGTTTTTGGGCACTTTATGCAGTCGTTCTTGTCTTTTCTGCCAGAGAGGTATCAAGACATTGCTCTGTCCAACGACGACATTGAGATGGGTTCTTCTCATCTTGTTACTTACTCCCTTCAGCACCTTCTGTTTATTAATTCATAAAAGTACCAAAACCGTCCCTCGATCGCCACGTTTTTGTAAGCTTTAGAGAAAGACTTGAAGATCTGCAGATTTCCACAGAGTTGTGTTATACTCATATTTCTTTAGTTAAGATTTACTTTCGTGAGTAGTTTAATGCCCTCTTTTTGTAGCGAATACATCTCTGTGGATGCAGGGGATACGTACTTACTGCAGTATGGTCTTGTCAAAGATGTACTGCTCAACGGGCAACTGAATCTCGTTTAAAAACAGGTAGCAACAGTAGAAACGTACTAATAAATTTCATTAAATTCTTATATTCATTAAATAAAAAGTAGGCTTGTTTTTTAATTTTTCGGATACCGATTTTAGTGTTAATAACTTTTTTGTTTTTATATGCGTAGAATAAATTAGTAATATATTTTCAGCTATTTTTAAAAAATTTTTTTTTCGGGAAGCAGTACCGAGAGAGCGAAACTATTTTAAAAACAAAATCGGTCCTTTTTTTAAAAAAAAATTTAAATAACTAATTTAGTAGAATTTGATAACTGTGTCAGTAAGTTTGAACCGGTTTAAGTACGACCGTCTTTTTACTGTGTTTTAAGTTTAATCACTCTTATTATAAACTTAATGAGGTTGTATTGAGTTTTTTAAGGAAAGACGGCCTTTCAGGTTTAATACTTGCTTTGTTTCAACCTGTTAAATTATTAAGTGTTAAAGTTATCACTATTTAGGCGCGTTTACAAACTTCTGAAGGAAACTGTAATCATTTTTTAATCCCCTTTAGGCTAACTGTTAATAGCTTAATTATGAGCTTTTTTAAAAGATGTTAATTGCATGAAGACAGAAGGAAGGGCCGGCACCGCAAAGGAAAAGTTCTGATTAATATAATTTCTCCATTCTTTAAAAAAAAGGCTGTTAAATTATGGTCGCTCTCAGTATATATAATATAAAGTGAGAGACAAACTATTGAAAGTTCATTAACTATTTTTTTGCTGGGAGCAAAGTTTTGTAAGAAAAACTTGACCTAATAGTATTTGTAGGGATAGCCTTCGAGTTTATAAAGTTAATACTCGATTTAGTAACCATTATGGTTTTTTTTAACACACCTTGAGGGGTTTTACTAGCATTTTTCTTCTTGCATCTAATTCGTATTAGCATATTATTTATCTTGTGTATTCATTTTTTTCACTATTGTAAGAGCCGTAGATTAGTTTACTGCAATTTTTCCTTGTACTCTGGTGGAGTCTAGTTTTTTATTTGCATTATTACCCTTTCAGCTGTAAAATACTAACAGCTACGCAGGCCAAAAGTGGTAGTTAACATTAGTTACTTGGGGAACCTAATATTTTCATTCTACTATTTTGAGCAAGAAAGTTTACCATATAGGATATATATAGCACGGCAACCCAAGTTTGAACCACTCAATATAAAAAGGCTGAAGGGCTAACGGATCTGTTTGCTAGGGGTTTTGAGGCAATCAATTCATTCTTTCTTAAGTACTATTTTGTAGGACTTATAGGAGGATGATTGTATGAGCAGTTAAATATGGAAACTTATTGAGTAACTCTTTGGAATTTAACAACGATGACTTTAGTATTGACCCTTACGACTGGCACGTCGCGAATTTACCTACTTATGATTAGTATTTTGCCCTACTTTTTGGCATTGTAAAAATGGTTAAATGTGAGTGCTTTTATAAACAAAGCTGGACAGTTTAGCTGAGATTATTAACAACGATATTTTATAGCCAGTACTTGTTTAGAAGAGGTCTATAGCTTATCCAAAGAACGTGTGGCCTTAACACCCTGGATGAACATCGCATAAAAAACATACAATAAAGTAAGCACAATACCTCCTTTTACTTATTGAACGCTATATAGGGTGCCAACTCCCAGTACTTAGTTTTTCAAGCCCCTAAGGACCCACCTGCAGGTGACCCCTTACTTAAAGCTTGGCCACATGATAATTATAGACAAAAAACTGTTATTTCTACTTTATTTTTTTTTTTAGTACTAAAAACTATTGAATCTTTATTTACTTATTCAAAATTTGGTTAAAATAAAAGTTTTGCTAACTAGTATTATTAAAGTCATGATTAAACCGCGTATAATAATTTTAATTCTGCTTAAAAAGTACTGCAACACCCAAGTATGGAGCAAACTTGGGCGTAAAGGTTTCATTATAATTACTTACGTATAAGTTTCACAAATGTCTAATAAAAATTTAAAAATTTTAATTAACCAAGGGCCATTAAAAAATCAAAAATCTATAGAATTATAAATGAAACTTTCTTTACTTCCTTCGTAAGGATTGTGCAATGATTAAGATATACTGTAAAACTTGTAAACTTCAACTAAAGTTATTTATTAACAATTAGTTGACTCCAAAAGATGCCTTTTCGTAGATCTCTCCATTATGACATTTTAATCATATATATTCGGAGACTGTAAAAATGGAGGAGACAACCTCTCGTACGTATCAAGTACTTATTACATTATTACACAAATATTTGAATAAAAAGGTTTTCTAATAAATGGTAACCTATTATAGCATAGCGTTATTTTAATGCGTTAGGTAACCAGCTTATTAAATTATATATAAAGTAAAAATTTAATTAGAGGAGACCGGTTATAAGGGAAACTTTTTTTAGCGATTAATATTTATAGGGATATATAAATTTTTTTTAAAAGTTGGTAGAATTATTTATCGCATTTTAATTGATTGATATCATAGTAAAAAAAAATGTTTTACCTGGTAAAGATTAAACATCTTTGTTGATTACTTGTATGGTTACTTGTGTGGTTACTTATTAACTTTAAATAAGTTTTTAAAGAATTTATAAAACCTTCAGAAGTTATCAAATAATTGATCCTTGCTTTGTACTTAACTTTATAGTTAAAATCCCTCAAAGCCTATTACTTTTTTTATTTTTCAGATAAAAAATTGGAAGGAGTAAGTATAAAGAATTTGTAATGAATCTAATGGTTGCCTTAAGGATAAATGCACCAATAGTTAAGAAATAACGCCAATGATGCATAAATGGAAAACATAATTAAAATACAACCACTAGGCAATTACCTTCAAAAAATACTTTTATATATTTCCAAACTTGTAGGTGAAAGAAAAAAGTTTAAGCGGTGCTTACCTTATATGTTAGTGTGGAGTTGGCATCATAGTTTACCTAATACTTATTGGTTCAATTTTTTTTCCGCTTTCTAAAAAGATTAGCTGAGATTTAAAGGCTTCGTTTCGCAAATTTAATATTGTAAAATAACCAACTGACTTTATAACATCGCAAATAAATTAAATGCTATAAGTGTACATTATGCAAAATGTGGATTTAAGCCCAAAGCTTGTTTCTTCCCGTATCGGCTCCAGTCAAGAGGCTTTAACCTTATTGTCACAACAGACTGCCAGTGTACCATCGTCTCCGTACATAAGCGGCTACCTAAAAGACAACGCTATTTCAAACTTATCTTTTAAAGTTAATGAATCTCAATCCCATGATTCTTCTGAGCTACCCTCATTGTTAGAGTTGTGTAGTGACGATTTACTGTTGAGAGATGCAAAGGAAACGCTGTGTAAAAATTCACCTGGTTGCCCTTCGCCTTGTCAGCTAGAAGCTTGCTGCAACCAACACAGTGACGCAAAAAAAGCTAAGGCTTCCAAGGGCATAGACAACGAGCACAATAGTGCGCATAGTAATGACTGTAGTACTATTATCACTAATTGTAACAAACTTAATAAATCTAATAATTTTGAAGAAAGCAAAACTCAAAAAAGGACCGAAGAAAATACTAATCCACTTCCGACAGATGAAGTCAAGTCTACTATTAACTTAAAAAAAAGATATTATAACATTCTTAACGATTCATTTTCTAATATAGAAAATAACAGCGACGAGAGTTTGCACACTGAAACTAGGAACTCTAAGGATATACCAAACAGTTATAAACCTAAACGGAGAAAAAGACGTACATTTTCTGAGCTAAATCGAAATGTGCGTTGTCCTATAAGGAACTGCGAAAGAAAATATGCTTCTAATCACGCTCTTCATCAACATATTAAAATAAAACATGGCGAATTTGACCTTAATTACGGGCTTTATTGCAATAAGAACACACCCAACTACTTGTGTAATCATGAGTTTGTGGACATTAGCCCATTAAACCAAAGAAATTATATCTATCCAGTTTCAGTCCCCGAAAATGAAATGCTTCTTTACACTGAAATGCAGTCTAACTCTAATGGAGACCTTACTCTGGATAGGTTTTATAAAATTTGGTTATATATATAGTTGCTTTATCTTAAATTTGTGATTTCAGATTAACCAATTTGAGCATGCCGTCGTTGACCAGTGAGACTTTAAATCTTAAAACGTTCAATTCAAACTTTTGTCAAACAGCAAACATATCTCCTTTGAATAACGGAAATATAAACCCTAACTTTAACGGCGAAGCCGCTAATAATTTTGTGAATAATACTTTGAATTCTCAGCTTTGTGGTGACGTTCTAGTAGAAAAAAAAAATGTTAGTCTGAATAGGGCATCTTTTAACAATCCGTTGCTATGCCCACCTGTACCTACTGAAAGTTATGACCTTCTCGTTGGTAATACTTCAATTCAACGTCCAGATCCATTTGTTCCACAACTCGCTTTGCCTACAAATCTCTCTTCCAACATACTAATTTCTAATGTAACACCAAACCGTTCGGTACCTATACAAAAAATTGAAAACAAAACGGCTTTAGAGCAGCTGTCTGTCATTGACTCTGTTTTAGCTAAGGATCAGTTGTTTACTAGTCAGGAAACTAGTGCAAAGACGCTCGCTAGCGAAAATTTCTTCTCCGATCAATTAACTTCCCCAACAATAGAGAATCCTGCTACTGTCCAAACTAATATAAATCTAAACCCCGTCGGAATACCTTCGCTTAATACCAATATTATAACGACAGAAAATCTTAACCTCACTTCTACAGAGAGTATCCAAAGCGCCCTCGGTAATAATGTTTCTGATAATAATACAGATAACAACTGTACTTCTGTTAATTTTAATATGAAAAAGGAAAACTTTTATAATAATAATAATAATAATAATAATAATAATAATAATAATAATAATAATCTCTTTAATATAAAAGCACAAAATGAAGTTAAGGCTGGCACACATAATCTTTTGGATGGCGGTAATCTTTCTAACGTAATGGTTAATAATATCTTAGATAGCGTTGAAAGTACTGCTTCGCAAATACTTGTCCCTTCTGTGAATAAAAGCATTGACGGAAAGCTGTTAGATGCTTTGTTGGTGGGCAACGCCGGCAAAAGTCAGTTATAAAGTTGTGTAGACTATTTTATATGTTAAATTGCCGTGCTTTGTTTTTTGTTTAACCCTCATATTAACACAAAGGTCCTTCTAATTAGTTCTTAGTATTTCTATTAAGCATAAAAAGTAAAGCCTGTATATCCTTACTTAAATAGTGAAAAAGAATGTGAAAGATTATAATAGAAATTCAAAGCTTATTGTTAGTAGGATGAGGATTATTATATAAAAATTAATAGGTTTTTATTATTAATTTGTATTGCAGATTATTTGAGCTCTATACTTCATTATCTACAAGTGCAGAGTTTACTTGCTATTAACAATTTAAAGTCCCCTCCACTGTCTATTCATATTAAAAAAGTTAACTAACTTTGTTACGAAATAAAAATAAAAGTACCGTAAGAGAAGGGATGTTAATATGGTTTTTTGATTTGTGAAAAATGTCCTCAAAATTTTTTTGGGTATGAAGACAGAAATTACTCTTGTTGAACAACTCCACTACTTTATTGGCCAACAAAACGGTATTATCGCAGACATAAGCCACTTGTTCAGAAAAATTACAGCCTCGTTGATAAAAGTAAAATGTAGTCATAATATAAACAGCATATTAAAGAAAGAATATCCAAACTTAGTAAATATTAGAGGCTACCATAGTTTATTGAGCATTCTTTAACTATGTTTTCCACCACTGTATCAACTCCCTCTAGATTTCTAAGTTTAAGATCAAGCGAGTTGACACTTAATAATAGTTGTTTATTAGCCTGTATGATCATGTTATGAAACCTGAAAAAACTATTAAATAGTTGTAAAGTATAACTACCTTACTAATAGCTTGGATCCGGTTTTCCATATCAGTAATAACCTTATCAAGATTTAAAAGATTTAAATTCTTTTCTTGATCGCTAACTTCTATACACTAAAGAATTTAAACAAAGGTGAGACGTGAATAACATAAAAATCAAGTTAAAGTAATAACCTGATCGGAAGGTATAATTATGAATTCCGGAATTTCAAAAATATTTCGATAACAATACATCTCAAAAATGTCGAATTCTTCATTGATGGTGACATAGATAATAGCTAAGACTTCACTTAGTTCCTTAGAGGAATGAAATAAGAAGGTAGCTACAGTCACACGAACTATAATAAAAGTACTTTTGTTAGTTTTGCAGGAGGATAGCCCCTCTTTTCTAAAGTTTTATATACATTTTCGATTATCTCATAAAAAATATCATTTACAGCAGTAATTACGCTATCAACAAATGAAATCGGTGTAAAACCAAGAAATTGCGTTTCGTACTCGTAGATATTAAAAGCTTTCTCTCCTGTTTCATGCATGTTGTCTTAATCAACACATAAAGATGCCATTCTCAATAACATGACTTTGATTTAGTGCCCTCTAAGGGGTAAATTCAGTAAAAAGTTATTGGAGTGCGCTATCGAAGCTATTTTTATATATTACGTAAAAGTGAACTGATAATTTAAAGTATTATGAAACAACAAATTTATCTCAGTTTTGCACTGATTTCAAAGTTAATTTTTTAAAAGGAAAAGACGCGGCGCTCTTAAAACTACCGACCGCGAGAGCGTAAAATAAAATTTTATCCACCTCTCTTGCGCTAAGACTTTTTTTTAGTAGCTGAGTCTAGCCCAAAAGTTCCTTTCATTCAAAAAAAGGGCTAAACGCCCATCTTTACATAATATGCATTTAGACATAACTGTCATTGTATTTTATTATAATTATATTTCATAATAGTTAATACGCAACCTGTAAGGATAATATATAAAAGCTTACTACTTAGATGCCTTCAACAAAGTCTCAAATATATTATTTATATCATCGTTAATACGGTGGTTTAAAAATTAAAGTAAACAGTTTCATACAATTATTATTCATATTTTTTTCAAGTGCATTATTTAGTTGACTGGCGCCGGATAATCTTCTTTTCAAGACCGCGATCTTAGCATCTTTTCTCTGAAAGTGGGTGTACCTAAATTTAGAATGGTTTCAAGTAAATGCAATATATTTTGATATTAGATAGCACCGGTTTTAAGACTTGCAGTTGGCTTGAAATTTGTGAACGCTAAATTAGTAAATGTTGTAGCCAGTACTGCATTCCTGTGACAAAAACCTGTAAACATTAAAATTTAATAAGCATTTAAAGGCAAAGCCCCTTGAGGCTTCGCTGGATGGCCTCCAGGTGGCTTCTTGAGGCTTACTTCTCCTAGCGGTGGTTTTTAGCGGTTTTCCACCACGACAGTCGTATGACGGGACTCCGTGTGAGGTATATCTCTTAATCCCTACTTTGGGATAGTTATGATCCCTTCTTAGGGGGATACACTAGAAGGAATCGCGCCACAAGCTGAAGAAAGGGAAATTAGATTAAGCGGCTTAATTAAAGTCTTAATTAGTAATTCAAAGACCAAAAAAAAACTTATTTTTCGGCTCGTGCAGCCCTCTTGCCGATATAGATGAGGCCTGTGCACCTCTACTTTTTACTACGGATTTATAGCAAATCCGAAGTACATCAGACACACCGTAGCCCTCTACAGTATATTTGCGTCGTTTCTATGCAGGACACAACTTTCGAGTGAGGGTTGGGACTCCGCCATCGCCATTTTACCGTCGACTAACAGCGGGTGTTCCGCAAGGCTCTCTGCTCTTGCCCCTATTCTTCGCGCTACGCTGTACATGCGAGATATTTTACTCCCTGCGAACCCTCTCGCCCACGTTGCGCTCTATGCCGCTGACACAGCAGTTTACGCATCCTCAAAGAGCCCCACGTTATTAAGGCAAACCTGCAGAGTTTTATTTGGAAACCTTATCAACTGGTGTCGACGGTGGGAAGTAAACATTAATGGAACGAAGAGCAAACTAATCCTCATCTCAAGAAGATGTATTACGCTACTCCCGCCTCTAACCCTCAAAGATGTTAGGATTCCAGGGGGCCTTTATTAGGCTAAGTACTTGGATAGCGTCATCGATAAGCACTAACTTGGAGGTAACGTAGAGTTCCTTATGACTAAGGTCAAAGCAGCAATTCAGGCACTCTACCCATTGCTGTGCGCTAAAAGCACAATACCCGTGCGCAATAAACTGCGCCTTTATAAAATATGCGAGCGCCCTATTATGACCTTACGCATCTGTTGCATGGAGATATGAAAAACCGTCAACAGTTGCACCCTTTAAATACAGCAAAACAAGCTCCAGCGACTAATGACCAGAGCCCCTTTTTTCGTGAGGAAGGATATGTTTCATGACGACCAGAGGTTGGGATGACTTGAAGTCTTTTTTCGAAATGCAACTTCAGTTCCTTTTTTTTTTTTGGACGTATTAGTAGGCATCCATACTGCCACGAGATTCGAGAACTTCCGCAAGAACCCTGGTAAGGCTCACGCTTCTGAAGGTCCGTGATGTGCTTTAAGCGCACAATTAAGTTTTCTTTTATACCTTTATACACATATGTACTAATTTTATTGTAAGATGACGATCTGCCGAATCCGAATACAGTCTAAGACTTAAATAAATTATTATCGAGATCAAGCAGTTTGCGCTTGATATTACAGAGCACCTACACAATTCATAAAACAACACTCCATCCCGACATGGTTTACATAATTGACTGGTTAGTAGTGATAAAAGTATGCCGGTGCTAAAAAAACGGCATTCTAGGGGCAAATAAAAGGTTAAAGATGTCACTTAAGCCGAGCGATATAAGTGTCGTAGCTAAAAGATATGTATATACAGTATTCTACCTTATATACGCAAATATGAGGATCTATAGAAATAGTTTAGGCGGACTAAGCTTTATTTAGTTAAGTTATGAGGCACGGGCCCCCTACTTAAGGAAACAAAATCTTAATCACGTGATAAAACTATAAGTACTCGCTAATTCCAAAAAATTTTGTTAGCTTAATTATGGCCTATATCACTTCATGTTAAATGTTATAACTGCTCGAGGGTAATGTAAGTAGTAATATTAACTTGAGAATTGACTATGAATGGTAGATATTAGGGGTTATAACTATTATATTTAAAATCTTTTTGGAATTCATAACTTTCCCCAAGATACTTATGAAGTTTGTATTCAGTGTAGTGCTTTACAACTGGGGCTCTTGTCGACCAAAAGCTGTAATAATCCTTTGAACTGTATTGCCTGGTACTGACCTAACTTACTTAACCTTTAACCTTAACTTCAAGTTTCGAATAAAAATGTCCTATTTTTAAGACTTGCGGCCTTTTGTTGTCTACAAAATTAGGGTTGTACATTCAAAAGTGTAGTTCTCCCAGTCTTTAATCTTTTAAGTGAACAAGTTTATTCAGGTTTTTTATGCAGAATAGCAATAGAATACTTCAAGTTTACACAAAGTTTTAGGTCTAATGTTATATATAAAAGTAAGATCGGATACAAAGGGATCATCGACAGGTATATAATACTAAGTATTAGCACTATTCCTGAATCTACAGACAAAATATTCAAATCTATAGATACAGGCACTGCTTCAACCCTAAAAAGAACCAGTAAAATTTTTTTAAAGGAAATAAAATGCACTTGTTGGGGTTACAAAGACTAACAACGTTAAGGTTTACAACAACTGCCCCAAAATGTGTAAGCTATTTTTTCCATAAAACTAAGCGTGACTGCAGAAGTTTTTAAGTAACTGTGTGCCCTTAAAAGAACTGAGCTGGTTACGAAAGCCGGAATTAGTATTTTATAATATACGAGCATATTAATATTTAAGTTTGCTTAATGCCACGGATTGTAGCTTTTTTCAAAGTTACCTACGTCAGGCTACATTTACCTTGCATAACTCTATATTAATTTAAAAACTTTTTAAGAAGTCAAGCTTATTTCAATGCTCATTATGCTTATATTTATAAGCACTTTAAGACAATAGCTTCCAACACAAATAAGCTTTTAACCTTATTTAGTATTATGATACCGCCCTTATATTATAACTAATAAACCAACATCTCGGGTAGTGTAGATTATATTTAGCGATTTAGAAAATTT